ATAGACTGGAAATCAGAAGTTCCCTCTTCGGGATCCTTTAGAGGTTCCGTTTGGGGAACACCCAAATAGGTCCACAGGCTAATTATGTCCAGGCCGCTAGACCAGGTGCAGAAAGTTTCATTCAACCCGCGGTCTGGCGAAGCCACCACTGAAAGGAATAAAGGCACAGAGGTTGAAAGACTGCTGTTCAATAAGCGGATTACGGTCACTCTTGGTGGCCAGGTTGCCTCAATTCAGTTTTCACATGTGGGGGTGGAAAGCCAGAGGATCAAGCTTGATTCGATAATGACAGAAGATGCAAATTTCTCCATCAAGCAGAGCCCTGGTCGTGGTCGAGGCCGCCAGAGGCCCTGCGTGCAGCTGACACCCATGTGAGCAAGCACTTCCCCGCAGGCTCTATGTGCAATTCTTGGTGTCCAACGCTCGCGGCTATGTGAACAAAATGACGAACGTGTCTTCTGTGACTGTTCGCAGCAAGAAGAGCTTGCACCTGGACTCCGGTGGGCTGCGTTGCTGCCCGTCAGCCACGTGCAGCCCGGCCCCCTTGTTCTGTCCCGCATGCCCCTCTCAACAAGAAAAAGAGGCCTCCACAAGTACAAATGCAGTATTTGAAGCTTTGCGCCTTGTGGCTTTGTCTCGCGACAACTCAGTGATCCTTTGCAAAGGGCAGGCCGCTCGAGCCAGTCCGCCTGTAGAGCCACTGCGTACGTCTTGCTTCTGTAGCCCCTCCGCTAGTTCCATGTTGTCGTCGTAGGAAGTGCCACCAGAGTTCGTTTGTTCGCGATTCATGTTTGCTGTGGAGTGCAGGCTTTCGCCAAGGGACAGTGTGTAGCTTGCGCTGGTTGGGTTCTTTTTTGAGGCTTGTCGCAGCCAAACAGATAGAGCAGACCGGATGTTCGATGCTGCCATTGCAGTCCTGGAAAAGCACTTCGGTTTCTGCGGAGGCAAGCATTGCAGTGTGCGCAAACCCACTTCGGAGGGTGCACAACGACATGTTTTGTGCCTAAAGGCGAAAGAAGGACCACGAAAGAAAGGCGCCGCCCCGAACTGTCAGACTGGGCTGCAACTGGTGCTAACCACAACGCCACCGACAACTTGTTCGGATCGGAGAGTTATGGCACTCAGGATGCAGAGAGGAGCCCAACTTCCACACAATCTTACAGTGTTCCTTATAGCAACACGATACCTTCAATCAAGCAACCAACCGCAAAGCCCTAAAGCCGCAGAGCTCCAAAGCGATTTCTCCAGAGTGCCATAGGTCATCCAAGCCTGACGCAGACATGCGATGCCATGGCATGACGTGCAAATGCAGCGATCTTGGCGTCAGTGAGGGTTACGCAGCAGAACCTATAGTTCTCTGTTCTGTATAGAGTGCTTCAGGCCCCATTTTGTCTATCCGTTTCGGGCTTCTGAACAAGAGAGCGAGCATGCGAGCAAGCATGCTAGCAAGCGAGCCGAGGTTCATTTGATCCGCCACCATCGGCCAGCGAGGCGGGTTTAAGAAACGGGGGCCATCCTTTGGATCAACCACATCGCCTCATAGGGAGCGGGTTTGAGCGACAGGCCACAGTATAGTTAAGTTTGATTACGTGTAGTAGAAAAGCATACGACGATGATCCCTGCAACGCATGCGCGCACGGTTTCTTCGATCGAGAGTATCTACTATTCTACCCAACGCTGAAGTCTTGAGCTCAAACAGGTTGGAATCATGCTAAAATTGCTTTGCCGGAAGCAAGTCACAGTTCGCAGAAACATGCAGAAACGTAGTCCTCTTGTGTGGGCCTCTTCTTTTGTATTATTGCTGAATTTGAATTTCCGGGGATGGGCATTGAATGGCATTGATATCAGAGAGAGTGGGTGTTGCATGTCGGATGTGGAGCTATGACGGGGTGCATCACTGAATTCGGGTCCCCGACACACCAGAAGCTGGGATCACGGTTCAACGTAAGCGCCGTGGTTCGTTTGCAGTGGGGAGGAATCAAGAGTAAAAGAAAGGCGTCCTTGTCGTCGCACCCTTATATCTGATACATCCGATCTCACGGCATGATACGGCATGATGTGAGGTTCAAGTGCAGCATTCTCGGTGTCAGTGAAGGTTGTGTGCATGAGAACTCGGATCATTGTTATGATGGTCATGGTCTTGAAGATGTGCCGCCGACACACGACGACGATGAGCATGTTGATACATCACTGTATGGGATGCAACGACTTGAAATTGCTCATGGGGATGGGCTGAAAGCAAACATTCGACAAACGCTTGCGCCGGAACCCTGCAATTCTGCCGCCTATACTTACTTGCTTGTGCTCCCAACATACCAGCAGTGCCACGAGGGCGCTCGCTCATCAGACTGAGACTCAGGAGCACATGCGGGTTTCGCTCTCGATTTTGGCGACCTCGTTCGAACAAGTTTTGAATTGGGTACCGCAGTCTGGAGGAAAGTATGATGCAAGCGAAATAGTCGCACAGGGTGTCTAAATTGAATGAGTTTGCAGACACGCCGACCGAACGGCATGCAGGATGGCATCCCGAGATTCCCCAAGTGCAGCGGCATAGGACGACTCTCGGAAAGCCCTTCCTGTGCTTCTGATGGTCTCAGCTGCTGTCGCTCGCAGTGATGCGAGGTTGCTCTGATGTTGAGTCCAGTTGTTGACGGGCGGGCTGGTAGCTACTGTAGCATTCTGAACGAGCATGCTCTGCAGGTTCCCAAGTGTATAAGCGCTTGCTTAAGATCGGACCAGCTACAGCGAAAAGCAGTGCTGCCACAACTCTGAGCATCAGTGCCGTCGCAACATCTGGCATGCAGCACACCGTCGATAACCTCTTCCGGATCTACATATGGCGATTTCTTAAACTTCGGGTTCCAGGTTCTCATGCGCAATCCACTGTTTTTACGTTTCCGACCTTGGTGCAGCGACTCTTTACGCCCGCTCAACTCCTGTTCCACATCTATTGCGGCTGTTTCAACGAAGGCTTAGATTAAGAGCCTTGGTTCTGACTGCGCATTAGCTCAAAGCACGAGGCGAACGGGCTTGGCTTCCTCAGCGGAGCCTTCTTCCGGGTCCGGAGCCGGGTGAGCTTGAAAAGTGATGTCAAGTGTCCGTTTGTGTTTAGAGCACACCTCGGCCAGGGTTTGTTTGTCGTGGGGCTCGTTGAAGTCCTACAAGACAGGTCCTAGCAGTACTTCATGTCGCCGTCACTTGCCCCGACTTTGAGTGCCGGACTGTAGCCACTGCAGCTGCTACAAGACTGTGTTTCGTGACAGGCATGCCGGACTCTTGGCTCGTGGTTGCCTTAATCTGTGCAGCATTTTGCAGACATGCGTCTGCGTCTTTGAGGGTGTTGGTCGCATCCCAGCATGAAAGCCCTGCTGCTTTGGCTTTGTTGCGCTGCTTGCGTCGTCTCCTCCTCCGTCGGACCCGCGCCTGGGCCAGGCGTCTCACCTTTGATCCGTTTACCAAGGTGCACAGTTCGTGGCTACGCTGGCTCCGGGGCTTCACCATGCCTCCTCCCCAGAAGTTACGTTATCCGCCGAGCTGCAGGTGAGCTTCTTTTGCGGTTTCGGTGAGCGTATGTCCGGCTGTTCGGGATGTGGTGAGTGCGCATTTGTGGTCTCATCATGGGGAGCTTTGTACAACAGTGCTCGTAGTAAAGATCCTACTTCATGCGGCGCCTACTTTGTCTTCAGCTGCCCAATGGCGTGCCTTTTCGTCCCACCCAGGGCCGGGGTGTGGATGTTTGCCGACATCTCTATTCACTATGACGGTTTGCCACCCATCCGGTTGCGGTGGTATATTTTGCCGTTCCTGTGGTTGCACATATTCTCTAATATGATGCGGGGATAGAATGCTTACAATATAGTATGATGTAATATGACATAGTAGTCATCTAAGATTATACCATCGGAAAAGTATTATGAAATAATATTTGTATTATTACTCTAGTCTTGTATAAGATAGTATGGTTGTCACTATTTGACAATATGGCACATGGCTCACCATTTACGGCAATATGCTGGGTTCCAGGACGGGGCATAGGAGTCGGCCCTGGGCGCTGTGACGATGCCATCCCAACGGGTGCCGACTTTGCAACTTGCTGGGCACATTGGGGTTTAGGATTCAGGACTACGGGCTTCAGGTGTGGATAGATTCGGTCAGTGTGTTGGATCTCTCTAGGGATGTATGTTTCTGTTCGCCTCCGATCCTGGAGGGTTTTGGCCTGCTGGCGTTCGGCTTGCGAGGCTTCTTGGCTTCTCGGCTCTTTGAATCTAGTGTTCCAATGTCTTCACAGCAACGATGTTCGATGGCTTCTCCGGACAGACGGAAGGTGTAGCTGCACGGGCAAGTGTTAACACGAGGTGCCTGGAATCCTTTTGTGTGAAGGTTTGTTGGAGGTATGTGATCTTCGCGGATTTGCAAGAGTAAACCGAGGGACTTTTGTCTTGTTCAGGATCAAGAGCTTGAGAAGCAGCGCTTGACGGCGTCACGGACATGTCTTGCCCTTTTCCAGTGCTGATGCTGCTGCGCGCAGCTTTCGTGACCCTTTGTGGTGCGTGCTCCACCGCAGATGACTGCTCTCACAACGGCGCCTGCGTCTCCGGTGCATGCATGTGTGCCGCCGGTTGGACAGGCACTGCATGCTCGGTGATTGATGTTGCTCCGGTGGATAAGGAAAAGTGGGGCTGCATGCCGATTCCAGATGGCTTCACCAGTTGGGGCGGTGCTGTGCTCAAAGAGGGTGGGAAGTACCACATGTGGGTCTCAGAGAATGCCAAGAAGTGTGGTATGAACACCTGGGGCACCAAATCGAGGTGCATTCATACAGAAGCGACGAGTCCGGATGGCCCCTATATGAAAAGCGGCGTGGTCTTTGGTCAGATCATGGCTACACCCCTGAGACTGAGTTTCTTTGCGGTTGCAGCACGGGTGCAACGGCAGTTGACGGAGATGAAGCTCCCCTTTTCGGATCTTGTGTGAACACGGCCTCCTCGGATCCGACATGGATGAGTTGGACTACTACTCCAGGGGACGATGCATCCTGGTCCAAGTCCGTCATGATCATCGATCCTCGTGATGAAACTTCAGCCATTGGATTTCAGGATGCAGCCTTTGCAGGCGACACTATCGACACCAACTTCGCACCGGTTGAGATTCAAGCGAACGGGAGCCTGCTGGCAATGTGGCGTTCCTGGCAAGATTGCCCCACGGCGGGAGGTGGTACCTTCTGCTCCGTGATCCACACAGCTAGTGCAACGCACTGGAAGTGCAGCAGTGCACAGGACTGCAAAACGAAGAACACTTTCCAGACCAGGAATATCTTTGCTGATGAAGGCACTGGACCAGCAGAGTGGGGTGCCAATGAGCTCTTCGTAACCAAAGGGATTGAGGATCCCTTTGGATGGAAGGATTCGCAAGGCGTGTTTCATGCAATTTTCCACTATATGGTATCGGAAAGAGACTTGACGTCCCATGCTTGGAGTACTGACTTCTTCGGCAAGTGGACGCACACGGGGGATGCAAATGTCCAGAACGTTTCTTTCACCGATGGCACGTTTGCAAAGTTTGAGTCATGTGAGCGGCCGAACTTGGTGGTGGATGATGCCGGAAAGCCTGTCGCTTTAGCTACCGCCTGTAATGCCGGGACAAACCCTCCTGAAGGCGCTGTGATTGAATTATCTCAGAAGAGGGTTGTAAAGGAGGGTTGCTACCGGTAGTTGTCCTTACAAAATCGAGCATAGCGGCCCCTGAAGGCTACATGATCGGGGAGTTTCCGATTCTCGAATCCTTGGAGTTTGCTGTTGACGATGCCGCTTTCACTTTGGTCCAGCCGCTCATGGATGGCACGAACACCAATACTGCCAATACTATTCCAGTGACTCGGGTGCCGAAGACGTATCACGGTTACTACGGGCGGAAGTGGTCCCGTTGGTGGTCACGGAAGAAGGGCTATGGCTACTCGCAGACCCCCACCCTTGTGCAGGATGGTTCGTCGGACACCGTACATTTTATGCAGATTGATACGAACGGTAGCCACAAGGAGCTGTGAGCCGCAAAAGCCATGATCCAGTTTTGTATGCTTTTCCCAGGCATTTTAAGACTCCACGTGTTCGAGTCGTTTACTTGTGTTCCGTTTCTGTGTGCCGGTGGGAAGGCTCTAACGTGGTGGTTGGCAGGTCGGGCAACCTTTGAGGCGGTGTCGACCAGTTTACTGAAATCAGCCCTTAGCGCGACTGTTTATAGTGATTGAACATGTGATCGACTCTCCGCTCTTTGCCACCACACAGAACTTTAAGGCTTCAAGCTTCGAAAGGGTGTCACACACTTTGGTTCCGCGTGAGACACGACAGCTCACGAGGAGCGTACATGCCACTTTTTCCTGCGATGTGGGGCGACTGCAGGCCCATAATTTAGATACAGCATGCACCTATTGTTGTTGTTTTGCAAAGGGCTTCGTGTAGACTGCGGCTCGAGTCTCCCCGCATTTCGGCCAAACGCTGTTATCGAGCAGATAGAGAAGTGCGGCGCTGTGCTGAAACGTTGGACACCTGCGACCTGCTTGTTGCTCCTTCGCAATCTTCGCACCGTTAACCTCACTATGTCTACTATTCTCTCCTTGCGTAATCACTATGTGGATCGCTGTTTTGCACTGAATACTTCATGCGGGAAATCCAACTCATTGCTTTTCTTCACACCATTTGGATCAGTCTCTGTTTCGCTGTTTTTCCATTGGTTAGTGGTTCGAGAAATCCAAAGCATTAATAGTGTCACAGGTCAGGTCACTCTTTAAACCACTAGAGTAGTGATTCGATAAATCCAAATCTTCGTATATATCGCTAAATTGCTGATTCGATAAATCAAACCAACTCATCAGTTAGTTCACAAACCAGATCACTATTGGATCATTTGAGTGTTTGGATAAATCCAAATCACTAACTGTTTCGCAGATCACCTAAACCCGAGGAAACCGTAAACCCGAAACCCGAATTCCCTAAAATGAATGCCTTTATTGCCAGCAAAAAACCCAGTTCAGGCACCAGTGGACATGGTCAGGACCTTTGTCCTGGGTTCGAAGTCCATTGCTGAGCACAGCTGGCAGCCGTTGGGTTTGCTCTGCTGGTTTGCCCAGGTAATTTTAAAGGCTTCGAGTCGTCCGCCTCGGCCCGGCTGTGGTGCATTGTTTCGGAAAGCAGCAATCCGAAAGCCTACCAAGGCTAATAGGCCTGAGACCCGAAACTCTAAATCCCAAACCTTTATAAAGCCTGTGAATCCCGAAACCCTCAACCCGCAGCGTATAGTTATAGGGAGAAAGCGCAGCCCTTGATGCAAGTGTGCGACACGAGCAGGGTTCACCAACCGAAAAGTTGACATGGACAGCCCAAATCCATTAGAAGAAGCGAAGCTTCACCGTGGGGCCTTGTGGCGCAGAGGTGCACACGGAGGAGAGTGGGAGGGGGGGGGGGGGGGGGGGTGGGTGGCTTAAATAGGGTTTATTTGGAAGCTGGCACTCGGGTTTTGTTGTGGTCATATATCCTCACACGAAGGCCGGCGAGCTGATACCAGCGAGCTAGGGCACGTATTGGAACAACATTCTGTTAATGTCAGGTTTGTGTCACGAGACCTGAGTCTGACAGCAAGCTAACACAAAGAAAGTGGCAAGCAGCAACCAAACAGGCCCCTCCAACTTCACGAGAATTCAAAAGTCTGCGTTTACCCATCGGTCGGAAAGAAGATAACTCCTTTCTCTCTCTGGGTCCCGAACATTTCCTGTACCTTTTCAAAAGATGGAGAACAGCATACGCACCAGAAGAAGAAACCGCCGTTCTCTCTTGGCAAGGGAAAGAGATCTTGATTATTTCCCTTACCTTTTCAAAAGATGGACAAGGGGCATACGCTCAAGAAAGGGTGGAGATTCCCCCAACAAACAACGAAAACACGGAGAAAGTCGCTCCAAGTCATTCAGCTGATTTCTAGCAGCGAGCTCCTCTACCTCTTGGTAACTCTCCATCTCCTCTGACGATAAATGAAGGGAGCTCGCTGCTTCGTCATCCGCAAGAAATGAGCTTCTTTTCCCCAAAAGGGTAAGGAAGAGATCCCTTGGCACATCCTCTACCGCAGCATCTCCAAGGAGCAGAGAACCCTTCCGACTTCACGAGAAAAAAAGGAACTCCGGCTGCCTCTTAGTCGACAAGAAGAGAGAGGAGCTCCTTGTCGTCCACTCTTCCTGCTCAAGGGATAGAAGAGGGATAGCTTTCAAGAAGTGAGGACTGAGCTGTCTCAATCGACAAAAGAAGAGTCCGATCCTCCCCTCAGCCTTCAACAAGACATGAGCAGCCCTCTACCCCGTCCTCTGAATTAGCTTCCAAAAAGACAAATCCTCTGGCTCATCCTCGACAAGAAGAGACTGAGAGCAATCTAAGGAGGCAGAAGAAAGCGCTATCTCAACAAAGCAAACAGGCCGCTCCAACTTGACGAGAAAGAAGAGGGGTTCGTTTACCCCTCGGCAACAAGAGACCTCCTTTCTTTCTTGATAAGGGGGGGACGCTCAAGAAGAAAGGGTGGAGCTCCCCCAATTTTCAAGTAGAGACATCTGGTCATCCCTCAGCATTCAAAAGGAAAAGACCTCATGCTCCAAAACAAGAGAGTCCCCAGGTGATTTGTGGCAACAGAAGAGAGCATCCCTTTTTACCTCTTGGTATGTCGCCTTTTCGTTTTAAGAAGATTGAAGAGACCTCGCTCCTCGCAAGAAAGGACAGAGCTCCCCTAGCTTCCAAAAAGAAAGATTTTCTACCTCATCCTCCACAAGAAATGACTGAGAGCTTCCTCCCATGTAATGAGACGCAAGAGAGCTCCATCTCAGTCCAGCAGACAGGCCCCTCCAACTTCACGAGAATTCAAAGGTCTCCGTTTACCCATCGGTCGGAAAGAAGATAACTCCTTTCTCTCTTCATAAGGGGATTGGATCTTGAGCATTTCTTTTACCTTTTCAAAAGATGGAAAACAGCATACGCACAAGAAGAAGAAACCTCCTTTCTCTCTTGGCAGTGGAAGGAGATCCTGATTATTTCCCTTACCTTTTCAAAAGATGGAAAAGGGCATACGCTCAAGAAAAAAGGGCGGAGATTCCCCCACCACTCAACGAAAACACGGAGAGAGTCCCTCCAAGTCATTCAGCTGATTTCTAGCAGCGAGCTCCTCTACATCTTGGTAGGTCTCCATCTCCTCTGAAGAGAATTGAAGGGAGCTCCCTTCTAGTCGAAGAAGACAAGGCTCCACGCATCTCCAGTTTCAAAAAGAACTGCGGCTGCCCCTTAGTCGACAGGAAGAGAGAGGAGCTCCTTGTCGTCCCCTTTTCCTCCTCAAGGGATAGAAGAGGGATAGCTTTCAAGAAGTGAGGACAGAGCTCGCTCAATCGACAAAAGAAGAGTCCGATCCTCCCCCCAGCCTTCAACAAGACATGGGCAGCCCTCTACCCCATGCTCTGAATTAGCTTCCAAAAAGACAAATCCTCTGGCTCATCCTCGACAAGAAGAGACTGAGAGCTTCCTCCAATCTAATGGGACAGAAGAAAGCGCCATCTCAAGAAAGCAAACAAGCCGCTCCAACTTCATGAGAAGGAAGAGGGCTCCTCGGCAAGAAGAGACCTCCTTTCTTTCCTGATAAGGGGAGGGGATCCTGATTATTTCCGCTGCCGTTTTAAAAATGGAAGAGAGCATACACTCAAGAAGAAAGGGTGGAGCTCCCCCCAATTTTCAAATAGACACATCTGGTCGTCCCTCAGCTTTCAAAAGGAAATGACCTCATGCTCCAAAACAAGAGTCCCCAGTATATTCATGGCAACGGAAGAGAGCATCCTTCTAGAAGAGAGCATCCCTTTTTACCTCTTGGTATGTCGCCTTTTCGTCTTAAGAAGATTGAAGAGACCTCGCTCCTCGCAAGAAAGGACAGAGCTCCCCTAGCTTCCAAAAAGAAAGATTTTCTACCTCATCCTCCACAAGAAATGACTGAGAGCTTCCTCCCATGTAATGAGACGCAAGAGAGCTCCATCTCAGTCCAGCAGACAGGCCCCTCCAACTTCACGAGAATTCAAAGGTCTCCGTTTACCCATCGGTCGGAAAGAAGATAACTCCTTTCTCTCTTCATAAGAGGATTGGATCTTGAGCATTTCTTTTACCTTTTCAAAAGATGGAAAACAGCATACGCACAAGAAGAAGAAACCTCCTTTCTCTCTTGGCAGTGGAAAGAGATCCTGATTATTTCCCTTACCTTTTCAAAAGATGGAAAAGGGCATACGCTCAAGAAGAACGGGCGGAGATTCCTCCACCACTCAACGAAAACAGAAAGAGTCCCTCCAAGTCATTCAGCTGATTTCTAGCAGCGAGCTCCTCTACATCTTGGTAGGTCTCCATCTCCTCTGAAGAGAATTGAAGGGAGCTCCCTTCTAGTCGAAGAAGACAAGGCTCCACGCATCTCCAGTTTCAAAAAGAACTGCGGCTGCCCCTTAGTCGACAAGAAGAGAGAGGAGCTCCTTGTCGCCCCCTCTTCCTCTTCAAGGGATAGCAGAGGGATAGCTTTCAAGAAGTGAGGACAGAGCTCGCTCAATCGACAAAAGAAGAGTCCGACCCTCCCCCCAGCCTTCAACAAGACATGAGCAGCCCTCTACCCCATGCTCAGGGTTAGCTTCCAAAAAGACAAATCCTCTGCCTCATCCTCGACAAGAAGAGACTGAGAGCTTCCTCCAATCTAATGGGACAGAAGAAAGCGCCATCTCAAGAAAGCAAACAAGCCGCTCCAACTTCATGAGAAAGAAGAGGGCTCCCCGGCAAGAAGAGACCTCCTTTCTTTCCTGATAAGGGGAGGGGATCCTGATTATTTCCGCTGCCGTTTTAAAAATGGAAGAGAGCATACACTCAAGAAGAAAGGGTGGAGCTCCCCCCAATTTTCAAATAGACACATCTGGTCGTCCCTCAGCTTTCAAAAGGACGGAAATGACCTCATGCTCCAAAACAAGAGTCCCCAGTATATTCATGGCAACGGAAGAGAGCATCC